TTAGGACCTGTATATTAGTACTTTACCACAAAACCAAAAGGTAACTTTGCTCTTATTTTCTCATGTTGAGAAATGCCATAAAGAACAAAAAAAAAAAACCATTCTTTCCCTAATTGATAGTTACTCTTTTAACAAACCAGCTTTAGCTCCAGTTATTACCGTGGCTTCCACTAATAGGCTCTCTCAGCTCTGTGATGTGCCATGTTCTGCTACGTACCTCTGATTATACTCCCTCTTGCTCTCTCTCTCGAGACTCAGAGGTGAACATAGCATAACGATGGGCTTAGTTAAGCTCTCCTAAATCTGATTATTTGCTGGCATCATATCTCTGCTCCAGGACATGAAGGGTAGGGACCAGGCTCTCCCTGCAGTCAACCATCCCCAGTCCTCTGCTCTCCCTAGATTCCCAGGTCTGCCTCTCAGATGGGCAGTCATGTGCAACCAGCATATGTCGAGCAACTCTATGGAGAATGGCAGGAAATGGATGGACGGATGTAGGGGGTGGAAATGAAGAGCAGGCTGTTGAAACGGGCCAATTTTTGTTTGTTTTTGGTTCTCTTGGGATGCCATGTGTCAGTCATTTTCTGAGCACAATTAAACTTAATGAGCTGTTTTGCTTTTTGAGCTGATGTTCATCAGCAAACCCCTGTCTGAAGCGGAGAAGAGACTGTTTACACCCAAATCAAACATGCTTTAATGAGATACCTCAAATGGTTTTAAACTTTCATACCTTATTTTTTTGTTTGTTCTAGTTGTTTTACATCACTGTTGATATGCACTTAAAAGAGATTTATTTCTCCACTGTAAAAATGTTAATTGTTTTGGACGCAGTTTTGCAGGACAGGCTTGTTTGTTTTGTAAAAGTCACTGAAAATAAAATCTGCATGGGGTTTTATCCAACTTGGCCTCAGACTAATGCATAGCCCTATATGCTTCTTTCATCTTGCTGTCATGTCAGCAAAATTAGAAAATATCAGATGCTATATGAGCCCTAAAATTACTAAGGTATTAATTAAATTAGTTGATAAAATATTTTAGTTTTGTATTATAATTTCAAAACTTTTTATGCATCTTGGACAAATTATCAGATCTTAAAATCAGGTAGCAAGGGATGTGTTTGTAATTGCAGAAGATGACTGAGATGATTGATTGTCATTTCACAGTGTACTAATTTAGGATATTAAATTTCATTTGAGAGCAACTAGTTTAGCAACACTGATGTTTATATCATATTAATGTTTTTTTATGGTCCAAGGGATGGTGAAACATTGTTTTATGAGTCACGATTCAAATCTGACAGTCTGTGACTTGTTTGAGATGGCTTACTTTTTGTTGTTGTTAACAGTCGAACCACAAAAAAGTAATTGCTTTGTGACATTCATTTTTAAAGCCAAATGTTATCTAGGTTTTATAAAGAAAATCCTAGAATCTGTTTTCTGTTTCCACTTTTATTGTCATCTAATATTACATTTCCCTTGAAACTTAATTGTGTGTAAACAGGCTGCTTTTACTTGAATTTTGCCTCAACATTCAATGAAAAGATCCTTTTTTTTGCCATTGACAAAGATCTACAAACACGTTTAATGTTGATTCATGAAAGATTACAGAACCTTTCGTGCCAAGAGGGAATTGTAAAGCAATGATTCACCCTGGCCTATAGACTTAGTGGCTCTTTGGTGCCAACATAAAACATTTGGAGCGATGCAATAAACTTACTCATTACCCTTGCTCTCTTTAACCCTCTGATGTATTTGATGACTCTACCTCCGCATTCAGGTACTGACCTGCCCTGCGTGTGTGAGCTAACCAAATAGTGTTCATGGGGCAACGGGAAAGTGCTTTCGTGTGTATTCATTTAGCCCTAAGCAGATGTATAACAGTTAAATCATTTTAACTTTGAAATCTTTTTGTCTCTTGTGTCGTTTTATCTCTTTATCCTCTTTCCCATCTATCAGATGAAGCGATACCCAGGCTCGTTCGGCAGTAGTAACTTTATCGACAGGATGTCACTTGAATTATCCTCATGCCAACCTTTTCTCCGCTCCTTTAATCCATCTTTAATTTGCCTTTAACTCCGGTGGTTGGTGAGACCAGCTGAACTAGATCTAAACAGCAGTAGAGAGTGAGTGTCTCATTCTTTTATCAGCTGAATGGGAATCAGTAGGCGTTTTGGGAACCCATGATGCCATCTATTAGTGACTGTGAAAGTCACCTACTGGTACTGAGGTGTTTGTGATCGAACTAGATTGAGTTTTAAGTCAAGAGTGGGAGCCGGTGAGTCATTGTAGCTCTTTGTTAAACAAGCATGAATAAGTTAGAACCATCATCCCTGTCAAGTCAAACACCATTACTGCAAAGAAAGAAATGAACTGTCTCATCTGCTTTTTCAACTCTTAATGCCAGAAAGTATTTGTCAAATATGCCAAAGTTTTTTTTTTTTTCCTTTGAGGGGGGGGCTTTTCTCCATCGTACCGACTATTTATCCAGTCCTCTTTTCTTAATGACCTCAGGCTGACCTGTGAAGTTTTCGCATCTAGAATGGATACCCCAACATTCCTCACGCCAGCAACATTCTCCAGCTAAGTCTTGTGAATGTCAGAGCTTTACTTGGCCATGAGAGAAATGTAGTCATTAAGTCTATTAGGCACAGGGTCTAACCTAGGGTTTCAAAATCTGGTTGGTCACCAAGAAAAAATCTCAAACTTGATATGGATAAGAAAAACTTATAGTGTTGATTCTGCAGCAACCATTTTGTGAATAATAATAAAAAATACAACTATTTGGAGAGTGTTTACGTTAATTATCTTGCAGTTTTGCCAAAACCCCACATTGCAAATTGCTTCTTTTTTTTTTTTCTTTTTTAACCTTCTGCGCTAACCAACATATACCTTTTGCCAGGTTAGCTCTCTTGTCAAGAGTCCATTGTTCCAGGACTTTGCTGTTGACTGGAAAAGTGCATGGATGGATTTTCACGCCACCTGCATCCATTTCTTCATTTCTGTTTGGCAGAAAACCGACTTTGAGCATGTTTGTGCCTCTTATTAGCCTGACGTATTCCTACTCAATTCTAGTCAGAATATGAGTCTGATACTGCTCCATAGAGCTGTGATTATGGGACGTGTTTCGAACAAACCAGGAAAAAAAATGCCTCTGCACTCAATTGGATAGACCTACAACCAATAAGAGCAACGGAGTGCGTGACGTATGTTAAGCGAGGCATAGTTGTTGTCAACAAAAATCAAAGCGTTCAGTTGCACGCCTAGAATAAGAAGATGAGCCTTGATCGCGTTTCCTCTTTTAAAATTAATTTGCTGTCGATATCTTCTAGAACAGACCTAATAGCAGAATCTACACACCTCAACTCTCCAGCAGCAGCCATTGTTGTTGTCACCCATGCGCGCTTTGGTCACGTGGTTGATTACGTTACTGATGATCATCTGTCCATCATCGTATAAAGCCCGCCCTGACGATTTGATTGGCCCGCCAGATATTGTGCGAGCATGCTCGCGCTACTACTGAGCAATGCCAGACCGAACTTCCCGACCTCAAACGTTGTGGGCGGGACTAAGTTCGGAATGGCACCCAGGCTAGCCTCTTATAGGACTTTAGTCTGAAAAGTTAGTGTCTCACTCTAAACGTAGCAAAACCGAAAATCAATTGCTTCTACAATTTGGAAATTTAATTTCTTTTTTCAAATGATGATTTACATTGCAAATGTATTGAACTGTTCAGTCCTACTTTAAGCCTCTAATAAACCAGACATTTTACAACAGTTTTAAGTCTCACACTGTTCCTAAAACAAGTGGGTTTCTTAAGCCGAGATAACTGTTGAGTGTAAATGGAACGCAACTGAACTGGACCGTACCGGATACAACCGAACCATACTGAATCTAGTACCATTCAACAGTAGGGCTTGACGTAGTTCACATGAACGACACCGCACCATAACATGTTTAGCAGGTTTTCCGGTGTGTCCGGCTTTGCAATTCACAGATCTCTTTACCTATTCACAACAAAAACTTCTTCTCAGCTTAATAATAACAAATGGCATCAAAAGAGCGTTGTGGGACGATGGAGGATGCGGAGACCGAGGCTCTAATTGAAATTTGGGCAGAGGACACTATCCTGGCACATAAGTTCCTGAAAGTTACTGGGGCTGCCATTTTTGTTTGTGTAATTCCTGCCTAGAGAGCTGAGGAACCGTGCTAGCATTGTGTGTAAATGGCTGTAAGAACCACATCAGATTGGGTTCAGAGGGTTAGTGTAAATAGGACATTCAAGGATCTATCTCTGAGAAAATGATTACTGCAGAATTCCACTCTGTCTGATTAAAGCATCCAGTGCCTCATGTTGGTTTTGATTTGTGTAGATCCTTGTTTTGTTTGATTGAGCTTCTAGTTAAATATTTATATTTGGGACCCTCTCCCTCTGTTGAAAATTGAATGTCTGGCAGAAGCCGTCCTTTTCTCACACTGCCTTTGGCTTACAATTACCTTAATTTGCCATCATAGCGAGAATGTCACCTCTTTGCCAGGGTAAGGAAAAGAAGTTGCTTTTCCTTTCTTCAAAAATGTATCCCTTAGATGCTACAAAACGTCATATGAGGTGCTTTCTGGCTGCCTTAGGAGATCAGTAATTTTTGAACTGTTAGGATTATTTGTGCTTTCTTTCTGTCAGCCTCTTTCAATCATTGTCGTTCCCATTTACTCTCAGCTAAAGCAGATTTACTATAATCTCATCAAAAGCAATGTTTACTGTCCTCTCTCTTTATTGCATCATCTCAAAGAGTAAAAAAGAGCTTTATTAACCCTGGCAGAGGAAAATGATGAAAACACTGTTTATCCCCTGATGATTCAAGACTTGATTTAAAAGAACATAGGCATCCAGGATATGGTAATTCATAAATAATTATGTAAGGAATTGAAGTCTGAATAATTTAACAAAGTGGATGATGAGATAAATATCTAGAGTATAAAAATCACTGTGCTTCTCTCTCTCAGGTCCTCTTGCCAATGGGCAGCTGAATGGCGCAGTGCTAAACGGCTGCCACAAAGAAGACGGATCCTTGCGCTCTCAGGGCCTCCATGGGAGCAACAAATATGGCGAGGACAGTCCTGCAAAAAAGAGGTTGGTGGTTTCATCAGTACTTCATGTTTTATTCTTGAGAATGTATGCCAAAAATAGGAAAGTATCTGGAAAGCAATTCAAAAGAGTCAACTATAAAGAAATCAGTTTTATATCGATGTTTCACTTCAAGTTGGTCTGGATTACATTATAGAGAACATTTTGGCTTTCTACTTCATTTAAAATCACTTCAGTTTCTTAATGTTTGTGGTTTAAGTTCATTTATTTTAAGGTCTGCAGCACTCTTAATAAACTAGGGCATCAGAACAGCTAGTACTTTCCTTTGGAGCCATTCTAGTCTTTATATGCTGCTGTGTGTTGGATTGTCTTGTCATTGAAAAACAATCTGAAATGGGTAAAAAAATGTAACATAATTTTATTTACACCTAATTTGAGAAGGTAAATAAGACGATCTGCCAATGGAATGAGTATTTTTGCTCTTAAAATAAGATAATTAGATGTTTTTCATTTGAAATAAGACAAGATTATTATATCTTATTTTGAATGTAAATTGTCTCGTTCCATTGCCAAAATATTTTATTGACCTGCCTAATAAAAATAAAAAAAAGCGTTTATTTTAAGAATAAAATACTTCGATTTAATTTTTGCAGTAACTTGATTTGAAAAAAGCTTCTGCTAATTGACTCTGCATTAAATGAAGGAGTTCATGGCTAGGTCAAAGAGTAAATGTTAGCCCAATCCTGGGGCTTTAAGTTGGTTAGAAGGTCCAAATAATCAGCCCTCCACATTGTAGTTGACAATAGCTATAAGGGTGTTGGTGCAGATGTTTGCTTTTCATCAGCTATGGTGCAGGCATTAAAGGAATAGTACACCCAAAACATGATTAGCCTTCATTTTCTACTCACCCCCATGCTGAACAACACCCTGGAGTACTTTTTTGATATCTCAAATGCATCTGGAGATCTGGGAGGCTTCTTGCTGTCTGCTGACATTCAAATAATGGAGGTCTATGGTGTCCGAGACAGAAAGGTCCATAAAAGTCCACAAAAAACGTGTCAATATTCCTCCATACTGCTCGTCCAATGTATTCCAAGTGTCCTGAGTGGGTAGCATCCAGAATTTACTCGAAACGAAGTCATTTAGAATGTTTTTAGAGCATAAACAGTAGTGTATAGGATTTCCTGAAAGCGCGCACATGCGCGTTCACGAGCCTACGGAAGCCGGCAGACCAAACCAGATGAAAGTGCGCATTCAGCGTCTGCTCTGCCAAGCGTAGAAGAAGAAATGTGCTGTTTACCTGTGCAAAGAAAGAAACAACGAAAGAAAAATATCTGAGGACTTCAGTGTTGAGGAAGAGCATGAGTTCTTTGCCGAGCTGAATGCGCTGGTTTGGTCTGCCGGCTTCCGTAGGCTCGTGAACGCGCATGTGCGCGCTTTCAGGAAATCCTATACACTACTGTTTATGCTCTAAAAACATTCTAAATGACTTCGTTTCGAGTAAATTCTGGATGCTACCCACTCAGGACACTTGGAATACATTGGACGAGCAGTATGGAGGAATATTGACACGTTTTTTGTGGATTTTTATGGACCTTTCTGTCTCGGGCACCGTAGACCTCCATTATTTGAATGTCAGCAGACAGCAAGAAGCCTCCCAGATCTCCAGATGCATTTGAGATATCAAAAAAGTACTCCAGAGTGTTGTTCAGCATGGGGGTGAGTAGAAAATGAAGGCTAATCATGTTTTGGGTGTACTATTCCTTTAATAGCCAGGTTTTGTGGTTTCAGTTTGTGGTACTGTTTTCCTTATTTTAAATGTGAACCTCTTGGTGTCTCTAGATGGTTACAAGTGTTGCTTATACAACCTTAAGCAAAAAAACTGCCTCTTTTAGCTACTCATATCACACACACATGTTTATCTTTCCTTTTTTCCTCCCCGATCAAGCCACGCTTTATCTAAATTTATTATCTCCTTCTCATCCTAACTCTTGTAAATCCTCTGTTAAAACATCTCCAGGAAAATCGATGTAAAATGTTTTAGTGCAACAGGCGCCACTGCACTGATTTATCAACCAATCCTCCTTGTCATATATCCCCTTCTCTCTCTGGCCCTTCTCTCCACTGAGGTTGTAAATGGAAATGTTGCAAATCTGGCTTCTTTAACACCAGTGTGAGTTAGTCTACACAGAACTGCAAATATTACAAAGCAAATTAACACCTAAGCTCCCTCCCCCCCGGCCCCGGGACGTTATGACGTCTCATTTTGTTCTGCATAATTTTACTCTACACGTTTATGTGTTAACAAAACCAAACATCTTGTGCCTCTTTAGAATCAGGCAATCCTAAAGAAAAATATTATCAGCTCAACTATGCTCGACAAACACCAACACCTGTCATTAAATTAGAATTCATAATTTCAACTCTTGCCTAGTTTTCTTCTTCTGGTGTTCCAAAACATGCTCTATCCTGGCAAAAAGGGGCTCAAAGAAGTAAAAAAGTTGATAAAAGCCAATTTTTTGTATTTCTATGGACCTGTCTACCATTTTAGATGATTTACGTTATGTTGGCTTATTCACCAATGTGTTTTTCCTCCCTATATCAAACATAAGTGAACAATCAAACTTTGACATATTTTGTTAGTTTATGAGATAAGCTTCTCAATGAACTATTGGAACTGTAGGTGTGGGCTGTATGTATGTGCATAAGAAGTGAGAGGAAGCTAGAAATAACTGGATAGGCACAGAAAATGCATGGTCAAAGCTTTGAAAGCTGAAACTTTGAAATACTATAAAATAAAGTAATTGAAAGAAAATTTGTGTAAAGCTACATGTAGAGCACTGTTTTTTTTTTTTTTTTTATTGGTCAAATTACAGGTGCTGGTCATAAAATTAGAATATCATGAAAAAGTAGATTGATTTCAGTAATTCCATTTAAAAAGTGAAACTTGTATATTATATTCATACATTACATACAAACTCATATATTTCAGATGTTTATTTTGTTTAATTTTGATGATTACAAATGACAACAAATGAAAATCTCAAATTCATCATATCAGAAAATTAGAATATTGTGAAAAGGTTCAAAATTGATGGCCCCTGGTGCCACACTCTAATCAGCTAATTAACTCAAACCACCTGCAAAAGCCTTTAAATGGTCTTTCAGTCTAGTTCTATAGGCTACACAATCATGGGGAAGACTGCTGACTTGACAGTTGTCCAAAAGACGACCATCGACACCTTGCACAAGGAGGGCAAGACACAAAAGGTCATCGCTAAAGAGGCTGGCAGTTCACAGAGCTCAGTGTCCAAGCACATTAATAGAGAGGCGAAGGGAAGGAAAAGATGTGGTCGAAAAAAGTGTACAAGCAAGAGAGATAACCGCACCCTGGAGAGGATTGTGAAACAAAACCCATTCAAAAATGTGGGGGAGATTCACAAAGAGTGGACTGCAGCTGGAGTGAGTGCTTCAAGAACCACCACACACAGACGTATGAAAGACATGGGTTTCTGCTGTCGCATTCCTTGTGTCAAGCCACTCTTGAACCACAGACAGCGTCAGAAGCGTCTAAAGAGAAACAGGACTGGACTGCTGGTGAGTGGTCCAAAGTCATGTTCTCTGATGAAAGTAAATTTTGCATTTCCTTTGGAAATCAAGGTCCCAGAGTCTGGAGGAAAAGAAGAGAGGCACTTCATCCACGTTGCTTGAAGTCCAGTGTAAAGTTTCCACAGTCAGTGATGGTTTGGGGTGCCATGTCATCTGCTGGTGTTGGTCCATTGTGTTTTCTGAGGTCCAGGGTCAACGCAGCCACATACCAGGAAGTTTTAGAGCACTTCATGCTTCCTGCAGCTGACCAACTTTTTGGAGATGCAGATTTCATTTTCCAACAGGACTTGGCACCTGCACACAGTGCCAAAGCTACCAGTACCTGGTTGAAGGACCATGGTATCCCTGTTCTTAATTGGCCAGCAAACTCTCCTGACCTTAACCCCATAGAGAATCTATGGGGTATTGTGAAGAAGAAGATGCAATACACCAGACCCAACAATTCAGAAGTGCTAAAAGTCACTATTAGAGCAACCTGGGCTATCATAACACCTGAGCAGTGCCACAGACTGATCGACTCCATGCCACGCCGCATTGCTGCAGTAATACAGGCCAAAGGAGGCCCAACTAAATACTGAGTGCTGTACATGCTCATACTTTTCATGTTCATACTTTTCAGTTGGCCAACATTTCTATAAATCCTTTGTTTTTATTGGTCTTCAGTAATATTCTAATTTTCTGATATGATGAATTTGAGATTTTCATTTGTTGTCATTTGTAATCATCAAAATTAAACAAAATAAACATCTGAAATATATGAGTTTGTATGTAATGTATGAATATAATATACAAGTTTCACTTTTTAAATGGAATTACTGAAATCAATCTACTTTTTCATGATATTCTAATTTTATGACCAGCACCTGTAGTCATAAAATTCCGATCATCCTGTTTGGCACTTTTGGTATTTTTTGGATCAATTGTGCCGAGGGGGCCTTTTGCATATAAGAAAGGTCACAATTTCAAAATGCTTATGACTAGAGATCTGCGCAGTGAGTTGGAGATTTTTAAAGTGACATAGCTCAATTTCTTTGAAACTCACAGTATTTTGTGCACAAATCTCCAGAAATGACAAGATCTTAGTTTTCAAATGAGACGCATCGCAAGCATGTGAGATTTATATTATTATTTTACTGGCATATGGATATGCAATTTATTTGTGCACAAGTTATAAAAAGATGGAGGGAGCCAAGGGGTTAAGCGAGCTGCATGCTGATGTTTAAGAGCAAATTCAATCGTTTATAATTAGCCTCTTAAAAGATCCCTGACAAGCATGTTCAAATAAATATTTAAAGAACTGAAGTAGCTCACTGTCAGAGTACAAGATGCTGTTAATTTCCAGCCTACATATTTTTGCTAATTTCTTTTTTTTAAACGGTATTCATGTAATGCATAAATAATTGACATTTTATGAAAAGTAATGATTTTTATTTTGT